TAGATAGATAGATAGATAGATAGATAGATAGATAGATAGATAGATAGGTAGGTAGATAGGTAGATAGGTAGATAGGTAGATAGGTAGATAGGTATGTAGGCAAGCAAGCAGGCAGGAAGACAGACAGACAGACCTTTTGGATGGATGGATGGATGGATGGATAGGCAGGTAGGTAGGTAGATAGATATTGGTAGGTAGGTAGGTAGGTAGGTAGGTAGACAGAAAGACAGGCAGGCAGGCAGGCAGGTAGGCAGGCAGACAGGAAGGCAGACAGACAGATAGATCTTTTGGATGGATGGATGGATGGATGGATGGATGGATGGATGGATGGATGGATGGATGGATGGATGGACAGACAGACAGATAGACAGAATGTGACAGCGGTGGCACTTTGGGAAAGTAAAGCAAAGCTGCCGCCACCTCATTTGAGGCACCAGCTCCAGGGCGGTGCAACAGTCAATAGGGTGAGCCTGCAGTGCCAGTGCCTCGAATGCCCCCCTGCCGCCTTTTAGAGCCCCTCTGCCGGCCCCCTTGGGGCCCCTAAGAGGCAGCAGGGGGGCATTTGTGGCACCAGGACTGCAGGCTCACCCCATTGGCTGTTGCACCAGAGCGATGCAAGGGGCTCAATGAAGTGAGCCTGCGGAGCCGGCACTTCGAATGCAGGCAGCACGTTGCAAAAGTAGAGCAAAGATGCCTGTCCTGGGCTTCCTCAACCCTGCTCTGCTCCAGGAAGGAGGGAACAGCACTGCCCTCTATGACATGAGTGCCCTGGGAGGGGGACAGCTTGGGAGGCTGATCCCTGGCGAGAGGGGCAGCCTGTGAACTTGCTGTTAGGCACAGCAGCTACAAAGAGGGGCAGACTTGGCTGAGCGGGATTTGGATATTGGGCATGTGGTCAAAGCCCCCCTTCCTCTGCCTCCCCATAGATGATCCACGGATGCCATTGACTGTTGCACTGGAGTGGTGCATCAGAGCTGCCGCATTCGAGGCGCCGGCTCTGGAGTGGTGCAACAGTCAATGGGGTGACCTTGCGGGGGCGGTGCCTCGAACACCCCCGCTTCCATCTCTTACCGCCCCCCTAAGGCATCCTACCACCGCCCAGGGGGCGGTACCGCCCACTTTGGGAACCACTTTTCTAGACTAATACTAGCTACTGCATACTTTCTATGAACGTATCCTGTTGAATTCTTTATTCTTCCCTACTAACTTATGCTACCAATGTATTCAGAGATGTGTT